ACTTGTTTGGTGACCGTGCCGAGTCCAAGGTGATCACAGCAGTAATTACCGCTTACTCCATTCGTTTAAGTCCACACCCACGCGTAAAAGAGAAATATGAGAAGTTTCGTAAGTGTATACTTATTTTCGTTTGCTTTACTTTTGCAAAAATAGATCGTAATTGTGAGAGACGATAAACAAGAATTTCTCAGAGAAAAAGAACAGACCTAGATTTTTAAATTTCGCATTTCTCTCTCCGAGCTGTTAATTTAATGCGACACTAAGTTGAGGTCTAAACGTGTTTTTTGCTTTGACACATTTTCACCTCATTTAAAGATATAGAAAGAGGATTGTCAATGGGCGAATAATTTTTCAGCTCAAATATATCAACGCTACAAAATTGATTTTACTTGCGAGGTGTTTTATTTTATTGGACTTTGTGGTTATTGCGAATATATTTTTCTCCGAATAATCGCCAGTTATAATTTTTCATTTGTTGCCCTGTTGCAACTTTTTTGCCTTTCACCTGGCGTTTTGTTAATACCGGGAATAATAGCGTAATTTAATCAAAACCAATTTTATTATAGAGGTTATGCAAAACCGCACTCAAACACCGTCGGCAGCACAAATTCCAAAACCTCAAGTTTCGAATCACGCGAACGATTACAAGGAACCGAACCACCGTTCAACATTTTTCATGTTGAACAAGTTGCTCTCGGAGTGAGTAATTTGAGCCGTTTATCCCAAGGGGATGGAGTGAGTAATAAATAGAAGCTGAAACAACTACATATTCATCTGAGCGGCGGTTTGGTCACTTTTCTGTCTCGCCGCCCAGTTTTAGCTCCAATAACGGGGATTACATCCTCCGCTGATAATAAAAAGACGCACACACTCGACTTTAAATTACAACTCGGTCGCTCGTTCTTTCTCTCTCGTTTTCCTGCCGGCCATTCGCGCTGCCGAGTCTGGGTCAGTGTGCATCGGTGTCTGCTCGCGAGCCCGAATTTTATTCAAGATGAATTATGTAAAAGCGAGAAAGAGGCCCAGCCTGAAATAACTATCATTCAGAGTCGTAAATTCGTGCTAGATGTGGGCCTGATAACATGTTTAAAGCTCATCCGCTTCATTAAATTATTTTGCTGCAATATGAATTTTTAAATAATAATATTTTATGAAGAATTGATCATCAAATTAATATAGTAGTTAATGGTAATAATACAGCGCTTGTATATTTTTTAGCAATAAATAATACATAATTAATAAATTTTTATTTTTTAAGTAAATTTTATTTTTAATTTTTAATTTTAATATTTTTTTTTCAAAATTTTTTTAAAATTACTAGCTATTTTTTTTATACAAACAACATTATCAAATTTAATTTATGCCTCCAAACAACTCGGAAAATTTTTTTTATACATATTTAAATAAAGTAAATAAAATCAAATTTATTGAAACATTGGCTCAAGACAATGATATTATTGTATCTAGACAAATTTGAATGATCCTCTGCTTGATCCACGCTGGAAACAAGGAACATACTAATATTATCGAATTTTTATAACACGATTATCATAGTTTTTGAAGTGTTATTTTTAGGATGTTTAAAGTTTATAAAGTAGTAAACTCCAAATATATTTAGTAATGTTAGAAATGCATATATATTTCCTGACTGCAGCGTGTGTGTGTGTTTCACGTGAAGCTAATTAGTTAAACGCAATTTATCGCGCTATATTGATAAAAGTTCGTTCGTATCATTAAGCTACCTGCATGTGACTTCCACTGTGATTTGAACTATCTACCCATCTTAAATATCGCAATGGCTTTATCTTTCCGAAAATGTGACCGCATGCTATGAGCAATAGAAATATTGAGTAAGCAGTTTTTAAAATAGATAAGTTTTCAATGAGTGTGTCATGTGTTGAAAAAAAGCGTATTATCTCTAGCACAACATAAGTTAGCCGCCAGCATTTTGCACATATTGATAAGATATTATTCGCAAAAAGCCGCAACAGCCACAAGAATCCTACCAAATTGTTTATTTCATTACCCTGTTGTGAGTCCTGCTTGATGGACTTGTGCTTCCATTATATTTTTCTTCACAGCACCTGATTTTGATAATGAGCTGTCGAGTTGCCACCATAAACCAAAATTAGTAGCAAATTAGTTCGGGAATTCGGATCGCCAGGCAGCATCAAATAACTTTTGTTTGCCAAACAATCAACGACTTGTTTCAATATACTTTTCCTTTCCTTTTAAATGCTAATTCTTTGCATTTGTGATTTCAAAAAGGCATTTTGTCAAGTTGGAAAGTGAATTTATTCAGATTGGATTCTGGTGAATTGAAAGCTAGAATTAAAAAAAAAATGTGAAATGAAAGTAGCTTTTGCAAACTTTTTTTATTCCATTTACCAGAACATGCAGCGGAAACATTCAATACGCTTTTTGACGCTTGCTAAATAATGTAACAATTTGAGCAAATCGTGTTTTCACCTTTGCTTTGCTCTGCAAAATGCCAAGTGTTGCGAATCCAAGCTGATTGCCAGTTACCGCCCAGCAAATATCCCGTGCTAATGTACGATAATAAAAGGTTAATACTCCATAAATGCCGTGCATTTTCAGCTTGACTCGCGGCCAAAGTTCGGCATTTGTCCAAACCTTTGAAAATTACATAATTCTCGAATTTCACGCATGAAGAGTTGCATGGGATTTTTTTTGGTTTGGTGAACGCTTCGCGGTTTTTGCCCTCGTCGGATCATCTGCCGATTTTGTTGTTGTCTCCGAAATGCGAATCGTGCGCTCACGTAATAATATATATGAACACATCACACACACAGTCCACCGCACTCGCTGATTTTTTGTGTTCCTCTTGTGGGTTCTACCGATTGCTTTTTGATTTGAAACGAATTCACGCTGCAGCGATCACGTTTCTAGCAGACCGTGAATTGGATGAAATTGTTATTCTTGAAAATAGAAAATAATTTGGATTGGCAAATAATTGTTAGATTTGATTTCCAAGCTGTAAATACAAATAAATAATAAGTGTCTGCAGTACATATTTCATTGAATATAATTATTTATATTTTTGAATCATCAATTCTATCTGATAATTGGCAAGTTACTATTTCCAGTAGAAATCTTAATCCTTCATTATTAACTCCCAATATACTTATAAATTAATATAATTTTTATGTTTATTTCTTAAATATTTGAGAATGAGGGCAAACGGCTTTCAAATCCGTCAAATAGTTGTCACATACCAGGGCTGTATAATTGGACCGGAATGCACACGGGTTGCAAAACTCGTAAGATTTACGCATTAATTAATGTTCACGTGAAAGGGATCAGGTCTCGCGATAATGACGGGCGCTTTGTCCTGCATTGCAAATAAGTGAGCGCCTTTTTAATACCTCCACGCACCCACCTGCTAGGCGCTGTAATGAGAAAATGCCGCTCGGATCTAAATTATTATTTTTTATGTATTCCCGCTGCATAGCGCACGACCCGGCACAATAAAGTGGTATCAACACTCAGTGACTGGAAGAAAGAAAGAAAGAAAGTCAGTCCTGTTGGCCGATCGGTAATAGAGGCGGCTTTTTATTCTCAATTATATGTGTACGAACTCATTCCGACGTGAGAGAGCCGCTTTTGTTGGCACGCAGTTTCGAAATTTCATCAACACACTTTGCTCCTTGCCAATGCTATTTAGAACCAAGTTCAAAGAATAACAGTTGTTGCAAATTATTGGAACAAAAGGAAACTTCCTGAAAACAAGGCTTTCTTCACTATATTAAATTTTGTTTCAATTCACAAATTACTTTTAAATTAAAATATTATTTAATAAAAATTGAATTTTCCTCTCAGTTTTTTTTTTTTTTTTTTTTTGCAATTTTTCAGCTCATTGACACAATGGTTCGGTGCCAACGCCCTTTTAGAATGCGGTGACCCAATGGCCGCGCGGCCACCAGAGTGGATTTATTTTTATTTTTATAGTTTCTGAGGCGTGCTAACGAAAAAATCAAATTATCGTGTTCGCGGCTGCTTCAAATTTGTTCTGTGGTTAACCAGTCAGCTAGAGACACAAAATCTGGACGCAGGTGCTCATTTTTGCCAGTGCAGGTGATTTGCGATTCCAGGGAGATGAATGAGAAAGGAATTTTCTCTTCACCTGCGTGCCGAGAGAGCGGGTGTTGAGTGAGAGTGCGCTAAAGATGCAAATCACCTTCCATTGCATACCGGCCGAGAGCAGAATGTGATTTAAACTTTTATGCGGATTAAATGGGCGTGCGTTGAAGCTTGAATTGCGCGAATTACAGAGCACAGTTTGATGTTGCTTCACTTAAAAAGCGGATTATTCTTGGAATGATGCCGAGCTCTAAATTATTATTATGTCCATTAAGCAGATTTGTTACATATTAAATCGTACTTGCCCCGCGGGTTGGGAATGTGCTTGTTTACTTTAAATTGTGCAAAATTCACTACTTAATGACTAAATTTGTAATACGTAACAGCCATAAATCGCAATCGATTGACCTGTTCAGAAATATTATCAATTTATTTATTAACTCTCAACAGCCCAAAATGGCCATGATTGAAAATGAAATAAATGATAGCTTTGTTTTAAAAATAAATTGCAAATAATATGTATTTATAAATTTGTCTCAAAGGCAAAAGCAATTTACATATCAATATGCATCAATCATATTTAAATAAAATAATTTATTAATTTGATTGACAGAACAGTAGAAAATTGCAGACATGCAATTTATTAAAACAACTTAAAATATAAGGTTATAAAAACTGTAATTTTAAATTTCTTTTCATTGATATTAAAGATATGTTGTTGTTTACATGACCATTGTTGCAATCTCATTGTTGAAAATCAATTTTTTTTTGTAAATAACTTGGTTTTTCTTTGTATCCCAGGATTTTCTACTTTTCACCAAACCAAAGAATATTTTTGTAAAGAATTTTATTTTGAAATGCTCTATGCTAATATTTTTACCATTTTTGTTTTGTTGCAGACGTGGCCGAGTGCCTGTCCGTCGTTTTGCCTGAGCCTGGCCGAGGCAGGTGCGCCCCCGTGGGGGCTGACAGATCGACTTTCAGCCGCTTGGGGTTCAGTGAAAGCCGCCATGCCGAGCGGGGGCGGCGGAGGCCCCCTGAAGAGGGGTGGCGGCTGGTGCGGATGCCTGAAGAGCGCTGAGCCGCCTGAAATCACATATTGCGTGGTTGACCAGGCTGGGACTTTGTCCATCCAGGCCCTGACACCAACGCAGCCGATGCCTGAGGAAGAGGAGCTGAACGCAAAGTTTGCAGAACTTGTGGCAAGTTTCCAATTATTTAACCTACATTGACATTTAAAATATTTTTTTATGAATTAATATTATAATAATAACTTTTTTTTAAACTTAAACCAATTTTTTAAATTTAACAATTATTCAAATAAATTACATTCAAGTTATTTAAGTTACGTATTTTAAATAAATTTAAGGATAAATAAAATTTATAAAAAGCCACAAATAAATAATATATAAGTTTTGTTGGCCAAGCAACATTAATAATAGTAATTGTTAATTAACACAAATAGGCACTGGCAATCCCGTCCATGATGTAGAATTTTTCAACACAGGAAAATAGTTTAACATTTATAACTGTCCATGTAATTGAACTCAGATGGGACTTATTAAGAACTATAAATTAATTAGCACAAAAATTCTTCCTTACTAATTTTTTTTTTTTTATTAAAGTTCAATAAGAGATTCTGAAATAAACTATAGATTTTATAATTGAAGATATATAACTTCAAATGAAGTACTTAATGATTAATATACATTTTTTTTTCTTGTAAATTTTAGGAAGAGCTGGATTTGACAGCTCCTAACAAAGCAGCCATGTTGAGTCTGCCACCAGAAAAGAAGTGGCAAATCTACTGCAGCCGCAAAAAAGTAGGCTAATTGAATTTCATTCGCGCATCTCTCGCGCGGATTCTTTTTTAATTTTGCTAAAATCATTTCTCGCGCCGTAGGACGAAGAGGGAGAAACTGACCTAAACCAACCTCCTGAGCACTACATCGAGCGGGCAAGAGCACTCAGCCAGGTAATAATTTCACTTTGCCGGCCGACTTGAAGAATAAAACATGTAATTTGTAGCTGCACAAGCGCGAGACGTGCTGATGATTATTCCCAATTACATTTTGTGTTTCCTTATTTTGTGGTCGCTTAAATACCCCCCTTGCTCTTCAAGGAACTATGCCCAGTTATACTTTTGAAGTAGCAATTTTGTAGATTATTAACTTTTGATGATCAAGAAATTTTAACCGAAAGGGGCTGATAAAGAAAAAAGCTCCCATTTTTTTTTTTTTTAACATTTATACATATTTTCTTGCTTTCTGTAGAAAGTAAATTGGATTTCAGCTTTCCAAATTGAAATTTCTTACGTATTTTTCATTAATTTATTATTATTGCAAACAGCAAATTATATTTCAACTAATTAAATTTCCATCATTGAAATTGTCAGCCATTTTCATTATATTTATTTTCAGCTCACATTTCCAAGCGACGAGGAAGAATTAAGAGCCCGAACTAGACAGATGGACGCCCTAAGGACGGCTCTCAGAACGCAGCCACACAGTTTTGTCCTTAAGTTCGTTGAGCAGGGCGGTCTTGAGGCTCTTCTCGACTTCCTCAGCAACTTAGACCACGAGACTGCACAAAGCGCTCTACACACAGCACTAATCGGATGCTTGAAAGCTCTGATGAATAATTCTGTGGGTTTAAAAAGAAAATATGATTTGAAATATTTATTTTGAGAATTAATTTTGTTCAGAATGGTCGGGCTCACGTTTTGGCGCATCCGACTGGAATCTCGACTGTAGCTCAAAGTCTGCGCTGCGAAAATATCAAGACTAAAGTGGCCGCTCTGGAAATTCTCGGGGCAGTTTGTTTGGTCCCTGGAGGTCACAAGAAGGCTCTGGCGGCCATGGCGCATTACCAGGAATATGCGGGGGAAAGAACAAGATTCCAAGTAAATTTTACTGAAAATTTTAGTCCTATGGATTGTTATCAAAATGTTTTGCAGGGAATGGTAAATGACCTGGACAGGAGTTTCAGCTCAATTTCCCAATACATGGACGAGGTCAATCTGAAAACGGCCATTATGTCCTTTGTGAATGCGGTTTTGAATTACGGGCCTGGTCAGGATAGTTTGGAGTTCAGGTTGCACCTGAGATACGAGCTGTTGCTCTTGGGCATTCAGCCTGCTATGGACAGACTGAGGAGACTTGAAAATGAGAATCTTGATAGGTAATTGATATTTGAATAGAAAATAAAATTTTAATGATACATAATGCAAATTAAAAATTAAATCGTTTGAACATTAAATTGCAATACAAATTGTCGGCCACTTTTATATTTTTGTTTCCAAATGTATATTTCTGACATATTTATATAGAAATACATTCATAATTTTAGATAATTTGTTTAATGCATTTTTTTTAAATTATGATTTCAGGCATTTAGATTTCTTTGAGATGGTTAGAAATGAAGATGAGAAAGAACTGGCACGCAAATTTGAGCAAGAGCACATTGACACAAAAAGCGCCACTGCTATGTTTGACTTGCTCAGGAGAAAATTAAGTCATACCGCTGCATATCCACACCTTTTATCTCTATTACACCACTGTTTAATATTGCCACGTAAGGATAAAAAAAAAATTTTTTATTAGCCGCATTTTAAACAAAATATTTAATTTTTAGTGGACTATGGAGGTGCTCCACAGCACTGGCTGCTTTTTGACCGTCTCATTCAGCAGGTCACTGTTCAAAATGAAACTGGAGGAGATCCTGACGTGTCTCCTTTGAATATCAATGTGAAGGAAATTGTTCAATTGTAAGAGCTGGAAATTTAATTTCTCTGATGTGTATAACCTAAATGATAATTTTAGGCTTGCAACGGAGGAGGAATTGCGGGCTGCTCGTGATAAGGCTGATGATTTGGAAAAGGAAAATACCGAAATGGCCACAAAACTGGCCAAGAAGGAACAGGAACTGGACCAACTTTGTCAGGAAAAGGTTAAAAACAAAATAAAAAATAAATATTTTTACTAAAGCTAATATAAATTAATAAAAATTTTAGGAGGATCTGGAGTCAGGTTTGAGTAGAGTTAGGGAGCGTTTGGAGCGCGAAACCTCGAACCACGAGCTGACCAAACAGCGTCTGACAGAAGTGGAGACCCAAGTTTCCGAACTGGGCCAGCAGATCAGTTCCGAGAGAGGAGAAAGGCACCGCCTCGAGCGTCTAGTCAACACAGGCAGTCTACCCGACGATGCTAAAGTCAATCTCACCTCTATGCAAGCACCGGCGCCTCCTCCGCCCCCAGCTCCTGCACCGCCTCCAATGATGGCTGGTCCTCCGCCTCCACCGCCTCCTGGTCCACCAGGCTGCCCTCCTCCTCCCCCCATGTCTGCAGTTCCTGGACCTCCGAAACCACCTGCGGAGGTGCTGATCAAGAAGAAAAACGTCCCTCAGCCTTCGCAACCACTCAAGTCCTTCAACTGGGCCAAATTGCCAGACACCAAACTAAACGGCACCGTTTGGGCCGAGCTGGACGACCCCTGCAAGTTGTACTCACACATGGGTCTTGAAAGCATTGACAAGTTGTTCTGCGCCTACCAAAAGAATGGAGTCAACGTAATGAATATATTTTATTTTAATTAAATTATTAAATTTTTTAACTCTAAGGATAGAAAATGTTTCAATTTAAAAACTTTTACACTCTTTCCATATTGAGATTTTATTCTTTATTTCTTTGTTAATTTGTTTATGATTATATGCATAATAAATGAGATTTTTACAGAATGATGGTTCAAATGAGGATCTGCGCCAAACTGGAAACAAAAAACAGACCAAAACTCTATCTGTGATTGATGGCAGGAGGGCTCAAAATTGCACAATTCTGCTCTCAAAGTTGAAAATGTCTGATGAGGAAATTACAAAGTGAGTTGCTGATGTCTGAATCAATCTCCAAAAATACTGATTAATACGTTTTATAGGAGCATATTGAGCATGGACCGCGGAGAACAGCTCCCTGTGGACATGGTGGAGCAGCTGCTCAAATTCACTCCTAGTGCTGAAGAATGTGCCCTGTTGGAGGAACACAGTGACGATGCCGATAGTTTGGCAAGAGCCGACAGATTCCTTTATGAAATCTCTAGGTAATTGAGCAAAAATATACACAATCCTAAATTATGTTTTTATAAATACTTATGTATTTTTATGTGCCAGTTGATTAAAATAAATGGACAAATTAATAAAGATTTGACAAATTCAATATTTCCATAGGATTCCTCATTACGAGCAGAGATTACGCAGTTTGCACTTCAAAAAGAAGTTTGGACCATTAGTGATGGAAGTCACAGCCAGAGTCAGATCAGTGCTGGACGCTTCAAAAGAGGTCCAACGCAGTCGGCGCCTCAGAAAGTTGCTTGAACTTGTTCTTGCCTTGGGCAACTACATGAATAGAGGCGCAAGGGGCAATGCTTCAGGCTTTAGACTGGGCAGTTTGAACCGACTTGCTGACACAAGGGCCTCTTTACCTGCCAGGCCGAGTACCACCCTACTGCACTACTTGGTTGAGGTCATTGAAATGAAGGTAAATATCTTAAATTAATAAAAAAAAAAAAATAATAATATTTATTTCCAATAATTCAGTTCAAAGATATCCTGAAGCTGGAAGATGACCTACCCCATATTAAACAGGCCTCTAAAGTCAAGTAAGAATTTGATATTTTGTGTTGTCAAGAGTTATTTTTAACAAATTTTACACAGCATGGGTGAGCTTGAAAAAGACATGACTCAATTGCGGAAGGGTCTGAGAGAAGTTTCTCAAGAGATCGAGTTCCACCGGACCCAACCTGTCATTCAGGGAGACAGATTTTTGCCTGTCATGAAGGAGTTTTTGTCCCACGCCACCACCAAATTCTCAGAGTTGGAGGATTTGTTCCAAGACATGAAAACTAGGGTAGGAGGAAACTGAGTTATTGAAAAGAGATTTGATATTAACTAACCAAATCATTACAGTTTGAGAGAGTTGTGCGTCTCTTTGGCGAGGAGCCAAACTCGACACAGCTCGACGAGTTTTTCAGCAACTTTGAACAGTTCCTTGCTGCTTTGTCTGACGCTAGAATGGACAATGAGAACAACAGGAGAAAGAGGGAAGAGGATGAAAAGAGAGCCAAACAAGAAGCTGAGGTAAGATATAACAACTTTTAAAAAAATAATTTATTTTATAAATAAATTTTTGTTTTAAATTTTAAGTTGAAAAAGAGGACCATGGAGAGGAAGCAAAGCAGAGAAGGCATTTTGAGCAGTGTCAAGTCCAATGGTGTTTCCAAAAACAAAGATTCGCCCACCAAAGGCAAAGGCGAGTTTGACGACTTGATTTCCGCTCTTCGCACTGGTGACGTTTTCGGAGAAGATGTGGCCAAGTTCAAGCGTAGCAGGAGGAGAATGGCCAATGGCACCAACGGCCACTCACCCCCGAGGAACAATGAGGACGCAACTGGTCGAGAAAGGATCATCAACAACAGCAACAGACTCGTGCAGTAGTTGAGGGAATTGAAGAAAGCGTACCACTCTGTATTCCTTTTTGTATAAATGTGTAGAGCTAGTTATATGGTTGGAGAAAACGCGTCTCTCTTACAAATCATATCTCTTTTTCTGTAAAATTTAAACTGCATATTTCTCTGTGAATTTCATGTTAAGACGGAGGTTTGGACGGACCACAGTGTATATCCATATCATGTTGAAAGGGCTTTAGGGATTGATACTCCTCAGCTGAAAATTCAGATCTGCACTAAAAGACGAAATAAGTCCAAAAACACATTCTATTTCTTTCTGATTTCTGCTGATCTTTAATAATTGAATCTATTAATTTAATAACTATTACACTTTTTAAATTTTTTAATGCAGATATAACTTTTCAACTCTTTCAATGTGGTTCTGTAGTAGATCAGAAATGTAAAAAAATTATAAAAATTCATTGTTTGCAAAATTTGGCTGATTTGAATAAAAAATTGTGGCCAAGACTGAAGTGATATTATAAAATCTTAGAGCAAAGCAGCCATTCTGTATAGGTGCAAAGTGATCCTCTTTGTGTATGATTCAATAATCAAACCAATTTTGAAATTTTGTTTGATTGGCTTCTGAAGCAACCTAGCGTTACATTTATTGATCAATCTAAAATTAGTACATAATGGTTCTATCACCCTCCTCGCATAGTCTTCGTGTTGTTCAGCTCCATACTATGATTGCATTTTTATCAGATACGTAGTTCAGTGTTATAGCAGCGAAAGCTGATTATGAACGCATTACAATATATTGTGAGGTCCATTTGATGTGAAATGTAAAGAACTAAACACTCTGTTAGCTGAGACCAGGATGAACTGTCAGTTCATGTATTTTATAGACACAAAAAGGAGACTTTGTTCAATTTTAATTAAATTAAATAAATTATTCCGAATTATTGCTTCTTATAGTGCACTTTCCGGCAGGTACAATTTAATTGTAAAATAACTCTCGTTTCGAAACCATGATATAGGCGTAACTGGAAAACGGAGGTTTGCAACAAGAAAACTACTAATATATTTAACTAAAAAACTATGTAAAATGTGGACGCGCGCCTCTGCATGGTGTACAATATGCTTTTTGTATTTTTGTACATAGATTAATTAATGTTTAGTTCTGTATCAATAAAAGTGATGGAAATCCTACAAAATACACCACTTTTTTCATTAACATTTCTGATTTCCATAATAATTTCCATCCTTTATTTCCAACTGTTTCAGCTGTTTATGCAACTCGCTTTGCAAATAAGAACGGCCGGTTGCATAGATACCGTCGCTTAAAAAAAAATCAAAAAAGTAATTTTGAAAAAATAATTAACTTTCTTTCCTTTTTTGTTCATAATAACTTTGTTTGTTCAGATTTTTATATAAATTATTACGTTAAGAGAAAATTAATAATTTATGATTATTAAAAAAAACCAAGAGAACGAAGAATGCAGCAAAATTACCTAAAGAATGGCAGTAAAATTACTGATTATATTTTTACCTAAACATTTAATAAAAAAAGTGTTTGCTTCTAATGTTAACTCTTTGTTGACTGAAATTCATTCCCCACAAAAATAATCAGCAGCGAGTTGCTCCAATGCGGCGGGAAGGAAGATTTATCATAACAAATTGCATTACTGCTCGACTGGCTTCATTGGACGCTCCATAAATACAAATTAAATGCAAAGCGTTCCGTTTGCAGAAGCACCCTTGTGCTCGTGAACGTCCCTTCAGCCAGCGCAAAATGACCTCTCAACCCGGCGATAAATGTGTTTTGCTTCTGACCACATGCTGAGCGACTAAAGTTTATTACGCGCTGATTTATCACTCGTATTGTTGCATGCGCCGCTAAATTCTGACAATAATTCCTTATTTTCGTCGCTCGTACTGGGCGAGCAACGTCCGCCCCCTTTTTTCATTTCAGTTAATCTGTTTTGTTTGGCTTGCACACTTTTCTGGCTGGCTGCCCTCGGGACGCTGGATTGTTTCCAGCAGGACAAACTGACCAATAAAGTTGGCGCAAAAAACCAAACGCCGGCCGAGATGACAACAACTTTATTTGTGATGTTTTGCCCTGTATAAATTACGTCAGTAATCTCAGCAGCGGGGCAAAAAAAAGCACGGCCACCGCACACCATCCATCATGCCATCAACAATTTTATTAATCATTTTTCACTTACACGCAATTTGCTTTTTTCGGACAGAGGAGATTAATACTTGGTGTTGCTGAGCGAAATAAATTTCCAAACGTGTCCATTCACAAATCTATTTTTATTCAAATTTCACGGTTATACATATTTGTTCGATTCTCGCGTTTCATCAAGTACGCACGCCTCATAAAATTGCAATTCCTCTTAAAAACCAAACATGTACAAAACAATATTCATTTGAAAAACAACATAAATCAACAGAAACATTTTGTTTATTTAATTTTGTACAATATTTCCACTGCAAGAAATTAAAATATTCTCTGAAAAGGGTTCCAAATATTTTGTTTTCTTTCCATTTTTGGTCTAATCTATCGATCCGTCGTCAATTGTAATTTTTATTGAATTAATACATAACACAGACACCATTAACATTATAGTGAGTATATAATATTGTATGCGCGCAGCTCTTGCGGGGTGGCGCCGCACCCCTGCAAGTTTGGCTAGAATTCAGTTTTGTCATTATGTACAAGAGTAGAGCTATTGAGAGAGAGTATACATTGATTATAATTTAATTGCCGCGTAACCACTATTACAATAATTTAATTAATCTCTTAAAATGTCAATTCATTGATTAATTGTCAGAGTATTTTTCCGTCTGTTCTGATGCTGCTGCCACATGAAACACACGAATCCACATTTAAAATTAACCGCCTTGTAATTTTAATCATCGACGTAATTCGAGTAAAACACATTTCAGCTTTGCATGTGATAGAGAACTTTGTCAATTACATAATTAATATATATTTTTTTTATCTTTAGTTAAATACACTTTGCAATGACTAAGTAAGTTTGAATCAATTATTCTTCGTTTCGTTCTCATCATTATTGTGTGAGTTTGTTTTTGGAATATATTTATGTATATAAACAAGGCCTTAATCGTTGATTAGGAATTACATATTATACTTCATGTTTCGTCATTATTGTATTCGAATGAGCTGCGAGTGCACATTGTATGCTGAAAAGAGTACTTTATTTCGATAGCAATGTTCTGCGTTCTTGGCGATGAAATGTGACCGTAAACATTTTATAATCGGCTTGCGATTTGAACCGAGATTTGAATTTTGACCATGTAAACAGGCACTCCTTTTACTTTTTAATATATTGTGTAGCAGTTGCAAAATTCGTCGTTGCTTCAGCAAGTCTTAAATGAAATAAAAATGTTCAGTTATATTGAGACTTTTCAATATCATTTTATCAAGCGAGTTTTATATTTAACCATAAGTATAAGGAGTTAGAGATCAGGACGTAAAAATTATGATTGAAAAAGAAAGATAGTTAGATCAAATTAGCATTGTGAGAAGTTATGAAATATTTAATTTGAAAAACTACTAAATTTTGCCTTGTCATGTTTCGGAAAGAATTTCATTTCATTAAAAATTATTTAGAAAAATGATTTTTAAAATTATCCGTTAAATTCTTGTTTTATCTATGAATTTTGTGTCTACCCCATTCAATCAAATCTCTGACTCGCAAAATAGGACTGAAAAGCACCGCCCTATAATTCACCTTCTGATTCATCAATTAAACGCTATAATCAATATTTGGTATCAAATTTGCACGTAGTCAACTATGTACGTTTTTCCACAATAAATATACTTTGCACTAGTTTCTCTCACCAGCGTCCATCATGTTCTCTTATATTCGCACGTGTCCAACAACTTCAACTCCGGACCGTTCAGTCGACGATGGCCGCAGCTCTGGCCGCCGCCGCAGCGGCCGCCGCGCCACCGTCGAGGCGCTGCTGTCAGAAAATCGCACTTGACTCTGCCGAAGCGGCGGCCAGCAGTTCCTGCTGCTGCTGTTGGTGGTGGTGGTGATGGTGGCCGCTGAGGTGGCCTCCGGCCTGGGAGTCGTTGCGCAGGAGGGTGGCGGCGGCCACGGCCGCGGCCGCCGACCGCCTGACGGCGTCGCTGAGGATTTTGGCGCTGTGCTCTTGCGCTTTGGCGCGCAGACACGCGATGCTGTTGTTGCGGAATTGCTCAGGGTCGCCCAGCATGTGGGGCTGGGGGCCCCCGGGGGCGGACGACTGCATCGACGGCGGGGGCGGACTGCCCCCGCTGCTGCAACTCAGCTCGTCGCCGCTGCGGTCGCCACCGCCCGACGGCGAACACGCCGACTCGGGTCTGCCGATGCTGCTCGAGGTGCCGCCTCCGTTGCCGCCTCCGACGCCTCCTTCCTTGTTCGAGTCCGACTCCTCCGAGTTGAGAGTGCTCGCTGCCTCTATGGATTTACGATGCATGCCTGCGGGATATGCGCGAGACAGAGAGACCTACATTAAATACACCATTCTCTTGTAGGGGATAGTTTGGGGACAACTTTGAGTTCAAAAGGGGAATAATTTTTTTTCGATATTTTGTTAATAGATATTTTAAATTAACGCAAAACATATGAAATGCACTATCAAATAATTTAAATAAAATAAAATTAAAAACTTTCTCCTGGTCACAAGGCGATATTTTTACTGTTGCAATGGACACATTTTGAGATATGTCACAACACATAATGCGAAATTTCACAACACATGATGCGAAATTTCACCACACATGTTGAGAAATTTCACAACACATGTTGCAATGATATATATTTTCTATACTTAAATGATTTTTATAGTGGCATTGGTGGTTAAATGCTTAGTTAAAAAAAAATTGACAAAATTTTAGTAGCAATAAAAAATTAAATCAAATAAAAAATTCAAATGAAATGGTTTTTAATTGGAAAATCTGGTAATTTGAATAAATAGATAATTACCAAGTAGCCAAGGTGCGACGCACTCATTTTCTTTAGCGCTCTTCAGGATGGTTTCTGGCAAGGGCAGCGAGTGCCGGACCATCGCTCCGTACAGTCCATATTCGGCCATTATTGTACTTCTGCCCCAGCACTTTTCCGTTTTGCGCCACTTTGCCCTTCGATTCTGGAACCAAACCTGCAACAAAATAGAGAAATACATTTGAAAAATGGCGTAAGAGGTACACAAAAAAGCTGCAGAAACCAACAATGAAATTATAAGCACAGCATAAATTATTTCTTAATAAATATCTTCAAATTGCTAAAAAAAAAGAACCACATAATTTTGTAATTAATTAAAAAATTTGAAACATAATTTAATTTGCTACATTAAATTGAGGATTTTCAGGAACATCTATTCCGGTAAAAAATAACACTTATTGGAAAAAATTATTTGTGAAGGAGAGTAATAATATTTTTGAATATATATTTTAACTGTTTTAATTTTAATTTAAATTTTAATAAAATGCATTGATCAATCATAATTTAATTATTAATTCTTTTGGTTGGCTGATAGGTATAAATATTTACGTCAAGGGTCATAAACTATAAAATTGACTAATTAATACTGACATTTTGTGCTATGGGCCATACGCTGCGGTTAGCAAAGCCCAGTGCAAATGAATCGATTAAATTTTGCGCAGTGCAAACAGATTTGCTAATTGCAGATTATTAAGGGTTTCGTCGTCGTCGGAGCAAATTAGTGCGTGGCCGGGATGCTCATTAAGAGTGCGAATCTGCGTGAAACCGGAGAAGTCGCACGCCGAGGATGTGCTGCCTCCGTGTGCACATCTCTGGCGGCGTAATTGGAAAGCTAGTGCGCCGCGGTATGCAAATGAGCCGTAATTCAATAAGCTATCAGGCGGCGGCGGCGGAGGCAGCTGCTCTCTAGCTCGATGAGTTATTTGACACCGTTCGTGCCAATTGATTAATTGAAATGGCTGCGCTTTATTAAACCTCCCGACTTGCGAACTATGCGCGCCCCGGCGTCGACCAAAGGGTTCACATCAGACGGCGACGAATTCTCGGCAGTTAATTTCACGCATTCCGCGCCGGCAAGACCCACTCGTGCAACGACTCATGAATTCTAACTCGAGTTTGATTCTCATTAATCATCAGTTCAGTCGAAGGGAAAGGATTTTCATTTCCATACATTTTGTACATGTAGCTACTATTATTTTTCATTATTCAATATTTTATTACAAGCATATAACACACGTTGCTTAATTATAAATTATGCTCTGCATTGATTTTTATAAATTTAATATTATATAATTACATGAGATTATAGTGATTGATTGTACTTACTAAGTAAAGGAGAACTCTAAATCATTATATAGCTTCACATTGCTACACATTAAATTTGTTTTTGAGTTTGAAGGATTTTTTCAATTTCATCACTTGCTAGTTCTCAAAATTTATTTAAAACTATTGGATACATATTTTTGAGAATAACTAATTTTATTAATTTGCTACTCAGTAAATTATTTAAATCTATACCGATTGATTTACCATTGCAGATTGCACGATTGAAGACAAACTTCGATTTTCGAACTAGATCTCTCATTCAATATGATTATGAAAATGACCCATGTTCATTGATTATATAAATTTTATTTGAAAATTTTTATTATGATATCATGTTTTAATTTTTTTATTAAATATAAATTGTACCTTTCAATTTTTATTATTTGCAATAAATATTTCTTAATAAATAAAAAAAATATATTAAAATATAATAAAATATTAATGATTAAAGACTTCATATTTATATAAAAGCTGTAAAATTAAAATTATAGCTAATGTTATTAGTTTTAAAAACTTATATATTAATTTTTGTTACACGTAAATAAAGTTTTACTAAAATAATTTTTATATGTCAGTTCGTACGCATTATTTGTATGAATCAAGTAAGCAAAGTGGGGTGGCTCATTAAAAAAGCAAACTAGTCGTTTTTGCGGCACGCGCCCGCTCCTCTGGTGGACGCATCGCTTGCGGCTATTATGTATCAAGGCGATCATTATCATTGCCATTATCTCGACACCCGCTGTGCCGAATTCTGCTCGTGCACTAATTCTGTAATCTGTGCATTGGCCGCGGACTGTTTTAGGAACAAGGGTGGCGCGTGTCCCTTTTCGGGCCGCTTTTTGCTCACAATCAGTGATAATTATTTGTAAAAACCATGATCCGCGCATATTAGAAAGGAATTATTGTTGCCTTTGATACAATTTTCCACGCTCAGCAGGCGGTCCAAATCTCTTTTTGCCTGCAGCTGAAAAAGCTGTACAATTAATTTCGATTTTTCAAAACTGATCAAAGCTTTGCTATTCAAAATTTTTTCTTTTTCTTTGGTGCGTAATTTTATAGTTTCCTTCGATAATTAAAATTTTTGTGTGGTTTATTCAAAATTCATTATAATAAAATATAAAGATCACGGTTTAAATTTATTTTGCCTAATAATTATATTGAAAAAAAATTAAAATAATAATATTTATAAGGATTTTAACAGAAATAAATCTAAAGAATTTGAAGGTCCCCATTGTCCCCAATGAACAGGATTTTCGTAGATTCGTGAATTCTAATATGCATGAGATCAAATCTTTTGAATGTCGAGCACTAATTGCAAACATTTATTCACTTCCCCGCTTTATTTTCCTGATGACAAATTTTCCCCATCCGCGAGTTGGTTTTCACGGGATCAAGTGGATGCGAGAGTATAGATTTACACAGGCTCACGCTGTTTTTCACACCTCGCGAACAAAAGCTCGTGTGCGAGCCCGTCCTTTAATATGCAAAATAAAAATCGCGAGATACACGCCCTGCTTTTGCTCGCACTCATGCTCTCTTTCTCTCGAATAGTGCATGCGAAAAAATAGAATTTCATAATATACCCTGCCTGTTTTTTTCTCACCAGTGCACGACAAAAAGCAGAGCAACTCCACGCGCTGCAGCATTCACGCTCGCATACTTTAATTTCACACATAATCCTCGCAAGTGCCAAGTTCGTCCTCTTGAGCATAACATTTCCACAATTACGCTTGATGATATGAAACCCGTGGGGGATATAGAGACATATACATGAATACACGCATGCTTGATGTCGTTAAAATAATAAAGTGCGAAGAACCAGGTTTTATGCAGAAAATTATAGATTTTTTATGCTGATATAATTATCACACCATCATCAATTAATTGAAACATAAAAAAGCTAAGAATAAATTTAAAATTTTTCCAAAATAAAAGGTGATTAAAATGTATCATTATAAAAGAATAAGGAATGGATGTAAATATGCAAAAAATCTTTTACAACTGTAATTATAATTGATATTGGAATTTGGCCAAACCTAGATTTCTAGATTGCTTGGCATAAATATTTTAATGGACAAAATTATTTAATTTTATGTTCTTATCTACAATAATTGATAATCATGTTTATTATAAAATGTTGCTAACAATTATGGCCTCATGACATTATAAAAAAGTAAAAATAAATCAAAATCTATTACAGAACGACAAAATCTTTTAGTTTAACCAATCAATCATATAAGTGAAAGTTACCCAAAATTTAATTAATAATGATCCGAATATTGAACAATTGAATTCAAAATATCAGAATATATTGAAAAAATTTATTACATTTTTTATTACGTTTTTAATAAAACCAAGTAATATCAAAATGTTTAAAGAGCACAAGTAGTCTATTATCTGAACTCTTAATTAAATAGAAAAATTGGCTTTAAATACTTTAAAAATGATTAATAATATATAAATTTTATAATTCCATAAATAGTTGCAAATATAATTGCAATTGTAAATATTAACAGCATTCCAAATTCAATTAATTTTATTGTAAGTACAAGGTTCGCCTTTTGATAAATATAAAAAAAATTTCTAAGGGTTTAGCTATATTTTTCATATAGTGAAATTTTGACATTTTTTTACCATTTATACGAACCATGATGCTCTTGTTGAAATTAGCATTTCAGATTTAACGAGAGTGCATAAAATTTTCCCAAGATTCCCCTGAGACCATAACGGTTAACGGCGTTCAACGCGGGCGTCGTCGCGGGCAGAGGATCAAATTATGTTAACAAATCATAAACCATTGGCGCGATTAAATGGAGTGTAAACGCCGGGAAAGCAGCACTCGACGCGCATTTGCATCTGACTTTTCGGCGGCTCTGCGTGATGTTTCTCTTTTTATTGTGCGAGGAGTTAATCAAGTTAGCGGCGGCAAATAAATGATGCCGGGGGCAATTCGATTATTAAAAACATTAAGGGCACAATGCAGGGGTGAAGTGGGGTGAGCGCGAGGGAGAGCGGGCGACGATTTATTTATTGACGGGACCACACACACCCACCAGTCAGCAGCAGACTCTCTTCGATCTATTGCAGCGGGCAAATTCAATTATAAACCAGCAGCTACACATCATTATTGTTATGTTTCGTTTTGCGTCTCGGATCAGACTGTCGAGTCGAGTTCCTTTCCTAATATTCTGCCCATGTCGCGCGTGTGTCCCTGGAAGTGATTCTCCCCGTAATTGGATTCCAAATCGTCACTATATACAATTATTGCACAATCCCAATTATAATCATAATTCTTAATGGAGGATAAATTATGTTTTAAATAACACAAATTTACATGTGTTATTAATGTTAATTTATAAAATAATAAATTAAATGATCCTTTAGGCGGGCGAGATAAAATAAGACTTTTTTATTATGCTTGCATTTTATAAAGTGAGACTGTATTTTAATTTTTCAATTTGTATTTTTATTTTTGAAGATGAAAAATTAAAGTAAAAAAACTGCTTCCAAGAGTCAAATGAAAATGTTTTTTTTTAACCGACGCTGAAAAGGCCAATTAATTAAAATCAATATTAATATTCTCTTTTGATCTAATTGTTTCAATTTTCTTATTTTTAGTGTCTAAGTTGGATAATTATTATTTCATGTATGCTGTGAAGTTAACCTTGATTTTGAGCCAAATAAAACACCTTTGTGAAACTTTTTTCTTATTATTTAACTTAGTCAAACCATTATTTCTCATTGCAAAGATTTTAACTTGATTAACTATTTTCGGATTTAACATTTAAATTTTATATTTTGAAACGAAATATAAATCTGTATTATCAAATG